TACCTGGGTTGTATAGAAAATCCAGTCTGCGCCTGAGCTTTTTCATCAAACTGCACTCCATACAACTCTGCATTCCTGACCAGTCTCCTCTGAGTGGTCCTTCACTGATTGGGGGGCAGACTGGCTGTCCTTGCTGTATCCCAGTTTTCTCCTGGTGGGCCCGTCTCCCCCACTGCCCATACTCCAAACACTTCCCATGGGACAGGCCCTGTGCTGGTCCCTTGCGTTGACTCACTGGCCTCTGAATGGCTCCCCTTTTTCAGCTGTTCTGGCTCCTCGCTCCTGCATGGGTCCACGGGAATCCTATTACTGGTCTTGGTGTCCTGGGGGCCACCAAAGTCCTCTTCTCCCTTTTCGTCTCCAAGTAACTCCATCTAAAGGGCACAGCAGTGGCTTCTGCCAGCTCCTGCTCTATGCACTCCAGCATTAAAGCAGCTGCAGACTGAAACGCTGAGAGCAGTTTTTTCTTTCTATCATCATGACTTCTCCAGCCTTCATGAGTTCCATAGGTCTCTCCTCCTCTTCACCTGAACTCCAGCGGCCCCAGCTTGGCTGATGTTCCATTTTTATAGTTGTTAATTTGTTGATTTGTGGGAGAGAGTGACACTGGGGACCGTCTATTCTGCCATCTTGACTGGAACTCTCCTGGAAGCTGAAAATTCTTGACCACTCTTACCATCCCTGATGTTGTCACTGCAATGTCTTTGCAAGACTGTATTCAAAGTTTTATTTTCCTTTCCACAGAAAGGCTGAAATAAGATGATCACTTTCCTACCATACTAAACTATCAAAAAATGGTGCAAATCTTCCCAAATATTAAGAGAAGATAATGAAATAGTCTTAACCAGAAGCCCATCAGGTAGGGCTCTTGTCCTCTTACCCCGGAAGCGCTAAGTGTGGCCAGTAATCAACAGAGACCTTGTATTAGGATCAGAGTAATAAAGTTGTAACTGAGAAAATTCTCCAACAAAAAAGACAACACCTGCTTCAAGAGGGAAGTTATAAGGGTAATGGCACATCTCACAAAAATACAACCAGAGTTTCTACTTTTCCCTTTTGGGAGAAATCCAAAAATATCAGAGGAGAGCACACTCTGGTTTACGGAGGAAGTGGGATTTCCTACATCACCCAGAGTGAGCTTCAACTGCACCATTACTGCAGATGACAAATAAATCCAGCAGAATTGCTTATACTTTGGACACCACTGAATAGTGGGAAAAAGAATTTTAGGTACTTCATCTGGATACCGTGATGATGAATTTGGTCTATGACAAGTATTTTTTATAAAATTATTATGTATAATTATTTTTCCCTCTGTTCATCTCCTAGGAAAAATATTCATGTAAAAATCTGTAAAACCATGTGAAAAAAACATTTAAAATGTTCATTCTAAACTCCCAAATTAGCAATATTTAAATTACTTATCTACATTAACAACTATGTTTTCATATCACCAACAACAGGTGATATTTCATGATGATTTTGACCTATTATACATTTAGTTATGGATTTATTTAATCATGTATGGAAATAACATCGTGCCTGTTTTTGTCCTTTTAAAATTTAGATATCGTTTTTTAATCATCAAAAAGGATTAAAAAGACTCGGTATACTTGGACACCATAAATAGTTTCCATAGAGAAAGCCATAGAGAAGGAGAAAGCAATGCTTTGATAATTTGGACAATGGATATTTCTGTGAAATATCCTCAAATTCATCACACTCAACCTTGAAAAGAACATGTAGTTTCAAAATGCCCATCACTTTTACTCCTCTCTTTTGAGAAAAATGGTTCCACGCTTTGCCATGTGACTTTGGCACCCAGTGCAACTGATTGCACCAGGAGGGGACATTTGACCCAAACACAGGCACCTACTGATATCGACCAGGGGTTTGATGGATGACCTGATTAGGTTATTGGGCAAAAGAATTGAAGCACTTGTATGCAGTCTCCTTTATGGACTCAGGGAGAGCAGATATTCTAGAGAACCACTGTTCTGTTGCAATTTCATGCCTCCAGTCTGTAGGGCTTCACTTTCATGAATTCAATATAACCATTTTGGATGGAGGCAAGAAGAACTAGACCATGTGAGACACTGTGCATTTAGACCTATCTACTCACCTTTGTTCCAGGGCTTGAAAAAGAAAGGTGCAATGACAGCAATGCCATCAGCTCCTATTTGTGCTGCATGTTGGGCCTTTAAAGGAAGAAAGAAGACCGTAATGGAGTAAGTGATTTATTATAGTCACCTACGGCTTAGATAATGGAGTTCAGCAACAAATGCTTCAAATTTGCCAACTGATACACCACTGAGGAGTGGAAAAATTAGCCACATTTAATAATAAATTCATTACCAGGAAAAATACCAGGTTGCAAAGTAGAGCTGTGCACTCAATCTTATATTTCTTCGTATTTTGTAAGTACAAAAAATCTTGCTAAGGAGACATGAGTGGTTCATTTTGATAAGTTATAACTGTTAACAGACAAACCTGCAGATGTAATTTCTCTTCTACTGTTTATCCCACTAGATGATACTGTCTTTTCTGTCCAATGACATGACAGTCATATTTTCAAATTTATATTACAGATTGGGAAGGCAGTTGAGAAAGGCTGAGAAGAAGAAAACAATTATACACATCACAGAAGATACTTTGTACCATGCTTCTGATGTTTTCTCAAATTCCCTCAGAAAAAAATTAACATTTCTGCTAGCTGGGCCCTCCTAATATTTTTTATCTATCTTAGATAAGAGTATCTAGACCTTAGGTATGGTGTACAGTTACTATCCTCCAACTAGAGTTTCCTGAGGGTAGGATCAGACCTTGTTTACCTTTGTGTACAGGTCAGTCATGGTGCTGGGCACATAGCACGACTCAGAACATGCCCCACTACCTGAAAGGGGAAAAAGGCTTCCCTCTGAGACTTGAATTCATAATATCTATATCTAAAAGACATAACTTTTTGCAGAAGCAAACTAGACAAAAAGAGAAGATTGGGGTATGGCCCAGGGACCAACCAACACACTGGATATAATGTCATTAACACAGGATTAGAATGTGATATATTTTGGGCCGGCCTGGTGGCACACTGGAGAGTGCACCGCTTGCGAGCACTCAGAAAAAAATTAACATTTCTGCTAGCTGGGCCCTCCTAACATTTTTTATCTATCTCAGATAAGAGTATCTAGACCTTAGGTATGGTGTACAGTTACTATCCTCCAACTAGAGTTTCCTGAGGGTAGGATCAGACCTTGTTTACCTTTGTGGACAGGTCAGTCATGGTGCTGGGCACATAGCAGGACTCAGAACATGCCCCACCACCTGAAAGGGGAAAAAGGCTTCCCTCTGAGACTTGAACTCACAATATCTATATCTAAAAGACATAACTTTTTGCAGAAGCAAACTAGACAAAAAGAGAAGATTGGGTTATGGCCCAAGGACCAACCAACACACCGGGTATAATTTCATTAACACAGAATTAGAATGTGATATATTTTAATCATTTGTTTAGTACTCTGTTTAGAAAAAGAGCATAAGGGTAACTTTGGTTGAAAGCAAGGAAAAAGGAAACACCCAAGAGAGAATTGATGGTAGTGCCCATTCCAGCATTATCCAACAGAGTTATGGCTAAGCAGATGCCAATATTATTGTCTCTTTGGCAAGATGATACCTATACCAGGAGATTGTCCCTATGCCAGGGGACTATCTCCATTCCAAGATTATCTCCATACTATTCTAGTATTCATTCCAATGGATGACACTGTCTTTCATGTCATGACAATGTTTTAAAATTTATATTAAACATTGGAAAATAAAGCAATTGAAAAGATAAGAAAAAATGATTCCCTACACCATCCTACCTTAGCTGAAAGATCTTTTGAAAGAAGAGCAAATCAAGTGTAAGAATATTAAATCAAGTCCCCAAGTTTTGATTCCAGGTTTAAGTCTAGTAAAATGTCTTCCCTTACAGCTTGCCTAAAACCACTGAATTCCCATTTTGCAAGTTTATATTATAATCCCATTTCTAAATCTAAATAACAAGTAAAACAATCACACAAAACTCATCAAGAATATGTTGGGCTAGATCAAGTCATTATAATCTTGGGAGTTAGAATATCTAAATTCTGGAAATGTGAGTTAATTTGTAGCAGTGCAGGCACTGGGCCTTCTGATAAACATTTAAACATCTTTGTGCTTTCATTTCTTAACCATTTCACCCAGGCCTCAAAAACCACCATGTTATCTTCATTTCTCCCAACAACTTTAACTTTTTTCTTCCTTGCCTTTTGCTCCACCTAACTTGCTAATCCCTAAACCTAGAGCAATCCAATTGCCTGTACTTTTATTCCTATGTTCTGGCTGAAGAGTGTACCTAGAAAAAAATTTCAACAACTGTGTGGAATGGTGGTATGACAAATTTAGGACATACAACTTAAGTTGGTTTTCAGCACCACTGGGCAATTCTTTTGTGTTTCAGCTCTCTCCTGTCCTCCAGGGCATCCATTTCACATTGACCTCTTCAAGCCCTTACCCTATCTTCCATCCCCTTTGTGTCCTGTAGATGGCCTTGTCTTCTACTTCCCAGAGAAAACTGAAGTTGGCCCAAGTTTTGCTGCTTACCTGCATGCTTTGCTACATCTGCACCCATCCTTTCTTTCCCTGGAGGAAGGTCTCCTCTCTACAGTAGTCATCATCTTGGGGTACGGCCCTGCCTTTATGGTTCAGTTCACTAGACAGTGAGTCTCTGAGATCCCACACCTTATCTCTTTCAGCATAGCATACACCACATAGCATATATAGTATTGATTTTAACTTCAGCATAAAATTGGAGGCCCCAGGAGTGGTCTTTCCTGGCTGGATCTGCATACATACCAGTTCCAGTGACTCCTTCAAGCTCAGTGCTCCTACATGAATCACCACCTGATCTAACCTGCAAAAGAGGATACATTGCTGCATCCCTTGAAGTTTAGAGGAACAAAGAAGGGCTGTACTATGCAGTCTGTGCTGTTTTTAACAGCTGGTTAATGCCTTATTAATCTCAAACTCAAGACTATTATGCTCTCCAGTGATCTATTTAAAATTGGTCTAATTAGAAGGGCTAATAGTTATTTTTTATTTTTATTTTTTGTTAATGGTGATCTTTTTAGTGCAGGTGCAGTTTCCGGATGGAACCTCTGGGAGCCAGGTGTGCCTTCCAGCTGCCCTTCTACACAGAAAAGACATGTGATCCTCACTGAAGTGCCAGGGTCCCCAGGGTCTCTGCTCATCTTCCCACCAGCTGATCTCGAGCCTAGCCTCTGACCAGAAATCAGGGAGGCTGTGTCATCTGGGAAGAGCCTCGCTCACGACAGCTCTCTGGTGGGTGTTCTATCCTGGGCAGCCACTCACTTGTTCTTCCCTTGCATCACCCACTCCTCTGCGACCTGGCGACGTTCCGAGACACTCAGGGACAGGCCTTCTCCTGTTGTGCCATTCACTGTTCCAAACAAAGAGTCAGTCAGTGGGACCACCAAACACCTTTTGCTCCTCCAACCCCAAGTCTAGATGTGCAGAGTCAGAAATCCCTGCCTAAAAGGAAGGGACCTGGGGAAATACCAGAGGACAGAATCAAGAGGGGAAAACGCCATATTTCCAGTCTCACTTCAGACTTGGTCCTTTTTCCACCTTCACCTTGTCTAAAGCAGTGAGATGGTTAATTATGACTTGTAATTACAAGTCTGTCCATCAGGGACAAATAGCAAATACTTTGCATGGAGAGAGTATCACTGCCCATATTTTAGGCCAATCTCCAAACACACCACCCAGTCCCATATCTGGGCTCAGATGGCAGGAAAATCAACACCGTCTAGTACTGGGGTGACAAGGAGGTCATCGGGGAGAGTCGGATGCGAGCGCTTTTGTGTACTACACATCGAAAACTACCCCCGTCTATAGTGACACGGTGGTAGTGCTCTAGACAACTCATATTTTTAATGATATTTCATAAGTGAGCACAAACGATATTACGATATTATATTTCTTATACCAAGCGCTCTTTACACATTCACTTATTCTCACAACCCAGCAAAGTAGAAATTATTCTTCTCATTTACAGATGAAAACATGAGGTCTGAAACACTAAATAATTTAGGTATGAATGCAGAGCTGTGTGATTTCCACACTCACCCTCTTTCCCCTTTCCCTTCTCCTACAGCAATTTCTTGGTGAATCACAGAAAGATGCCAGTGTCAGCAGGATACATTACTGAGCCCTCCTGTGGATGGCAGCCCTTTGAATCTCCAAGCACTGGGCACCGGGTTGGAATAGGAGAGATCGGGACGGGGAGGGGAGCCGGAAAGAGTGTTTTCATCACTACTTCGGGGATTTGAGACATTTAAAGTATACTTCGGTCCTAGAGAGATGTCCTGCATCTTCCCTATACTGAGGGGAGATCTGTGGCCCCTTAAGGAGTATCTGCCTTCTTCACTATGGCTTGGAGCTGTAGGGGCACACTGAGTGGCTCTGTAATCAGGTCTTGGTTTTGACATGTGGCATAGGACAACTTTTCTCTCAAGTTTTAATGTGCTCTGATTGTGACCATGGTGCCTCCAGCTCAGGGGCTTGGAGGTGGGGGTCCCTGTACGTAGAGCAGTAGCTCAGGACCAAGGTGTAGTGTCCTCAGAATGAGAACATCCAAGGGGCTGGGAGCCCAGAACACCACACAGGGGCAGCTCAATCGCAGGTAAGCACAGTTCTCAGGCTTAAAATGTTTGAGGTCTGATGTTTTTTACTTTTGCTGTCTCTGTAATAAGTGGGGTAACTGCTAGTCTTGTGACTTCTTTGTGTGCTGCATTTAGTCCTTCTTCCATGCACAATTTGAAAAGTCAGGGTAAGATGGAATAAAGCCCATTCTTAAGATAAAAAGAGGATTTAGTTTGTACTTAATAGGGTTTAGTTGTTACTCTACCACTACTTGGCTGAATAGCCTGGGACAATCTAAAGAGTATGTCTGAGTCACAGATTTCCTTTCTCTCTCTTTTTATTTTTTTTTTAAAAAGATGACCGGTAAGGGGATCTTAACCCTTGACTTGCTGTTGTCAGCACCACGCTCTCCCAAGTGAGCTAACTGGCCATCCCCATATAGGGATCCAAACCCAAGCCTTGGTGTTATCAGCACCACACTCTCCCAAGTAAGCCAGGGGCCAGCCCATGAGTCAAAGATTTTCATCTCTAAATGGGGATAAAATAAAAACTTAATCTGTTGGCATACCACCAAATGAGATTATTTCTTGAGGTGCTTTGTAGGTCTAACATTGGTGAGTGTACAAGTTCACAAATTTTAGTTAGCTTAGCCAGGCTCCATAAAATCTGAGACACAATGACTCTGTGTGACCTCTTAGCCAGTAACCAGATGAGATCTAAGTTTTAAGGACTGAGTTAGAGACATGCAGAGAAATCTCCAAAGGCGACTTACCAAAAACATTCTTCACTCCCTGTTCATTCACAAGATAATCCACATACTGACCAATTAACGAATAGTTGACTTCTCTAAAAGACACAGGAAAAATTGGAAAGAATGCATATTTAGTCTTTTTAATATTATTATTTAGCTAATCCCAAGGTCTGTACACTGCTCTTTGTTATTATTTATTAAAAATCCATTCAGTCAGTTTGTGAAATTCTTAACCTACTCCAGATAATACCTGGGTTGTTTTTCTGTTTCTGTTTTTCTAAATCTAGTGATTTCTCCACTCAGCCATGTGAGCCTCACTTATATGAGCAAAACACTGTTAGTTCCAACAGAGGCTTTACATTTAATCTTCATCATAAGTACTATTTAAAAAGTAGTTATCTAGTATCTTTTGCCCTTTTGGGGGAAGAATGATGGTTGGGGGCATGGTTAAATGAGAACATTTTCCACATGGCAAGGACAATCATTTCTTAGGCTTATGAAATAGGACAATTTGATCTTAATAATAAAAATTTTAGAACTTAATATTTGCGATGTCGACCAAAATCAAGGCTAACAAGGTGGAAGTAATTTTAAAAGGCTTAATGAAAAGGGAGCTTGAGGATTAACACAGGAAACACAAGTCAACAGAGTTGGGAGATGCTCTGAATCCCTCAGTGTCGCGCCCGTACCGGACCAGGACCGGCAACGGGATCGCAACCCTCAGCGCTGCGCCCGCACCTCGCTCAGCCAGTGAGAGGCCGGTCTGTATGTGGGATCCAAATGCTCGGCGGGAGTGCAGCCGCGTTCCCAAGCGGCGCACTGTAGCAGTGCACCACCGGGCCGGCCGCAATTTGATCTTAATAATAAAAATTTTAGCACTTAATATTTGCGATGTCGACCAAAATCAAGGCTGACAAAGTGGAAGTAATTTTATAAAGGGTTACTGAAAAGGGAGCTTGAGGATTAACCCAGGAAACACAAGTCAACAGAGTTGGGAGATCCCCTGAAGTCTCTTACAGGCTGGAGAGATTTTACTGGAAAGTTTGGAAAGGGAAAAGGGACTCCTCAAACCAGAATTGTCTCATTTTTATTGGTGGGCAAAATACAAAAGTTACAATTACTGACTACAGATTATAACATAGAAGTTAAAAATGTCTACATGCAGAACAGGCAGTAAACTTCATGCCTCAGTTACTCTCAAAAACAGCTCATTGTTTCACTTAAAGTCAGTAGGTTATACATTAATTGGTACATCAACAATTTCAGGAACAAATTCTTAGGAGCAGGATGTGGACATCAGATCATAAGACTTTCCCCCAGAGGCAATTAAGTTTTAGACAGCCTGCTTGAATCATTTCATCAGTGACAACGAATGAAGGCTTAAACCCATCTGCTTGCTACTTTTACATTGAAGAGTATTAACAGTTGGAAAGAAATTTTACTGTCACTGTGCCTCTCAAAGCAAGGTCCACAGAGCAGCAACCCTGGCATCTGGGGGAGTTAGAAATGCAGAATCCCAGGTCCCACACAGACCTACCCTGTCAGAATCTGCATTTTCACAAGATGCCCACGTGATCTACGTGCACTCTGCAATTTGAGGCACTCTGATCTTGTAAGAATCTGATGCTTAAGGTGATGAGGGCTCTTTTCCTTAAAATTATACTGATTTTAAAATCTAGAAAATGACTCACAAATTGTATTACATGATCTGTCCTCAATCAAAATGCAGGCAGGGAGGATGGGTGACGGAGAGTGGAAACCCAGAGGACTGAGTAGAGACATGCAGAGAAATCTCCAAAGGCGACTTACCAAAAACATTCTTCACTCCCTGTTCATTCACAAGATAATCCACATACTGACCAATAATGATTTGAGAAGACAGAATCAGCAGAACGGGCTCTTTCGTAACTGGCATGATGTTGCATGCATATCAGAAAATCTACCTTCCATTTACTTTTGCTTTTTATACATAACTCTCAGCATTCAGTTGTGCAGCAACTCCAGGCTAAATGTTGTAGAACCCACGGTTACAGTTGCATTGCCAAGAACACAAAGTACTAGTTGGCTGCCACTTGCACTTTTGTCAGTGGGGCCAGAGAATCCTAATTTAATTTTAGTCTTATGAATGTTCTTTTCATCTTTACTTATTGTATTCCTTAAATGACAAAAATAAAACCTGATGCATCTAGGAAACAAAGACATCCCAGGGTAGTATTTGTCAAAGGGAATAGGAACAATAAAGATAGAATAGAAAACGGCTGACTCTGAGATTAAAGGGAGAGATACTAAAAGCAAAGAACGCATGGGCAATCACAGCCCACAATGGGCTCAGAGAGAAGACAGCAAGCAGAGCTGAGCCTAGCACTTGGGAAAAGGTGTGCTTTAATGCAGTGATAAGGTAATAAGGCCTCTGAGCAGGACAAACTCCCTCCATGATGGCCCCCTCCTTGCCCCAGTCTGCGCCTGGCACTGCACGGGTGCTTAGCAAAAGCTGGGTTACGGAATGGTGATACGGGAACACACACTGATGATGAAATCACCATGCCTTTACAAGCAGCTTATCACCACACCTGCATGATGCTTTGAAATTTCACTATGACATTGACTAAAATAGAGAGGGAAATATGACTAAGGCTATGACTGAGTCAAAAAATTAAATGTATGGGGGTTCAGAAGAGGGACTGATGAATTCCAACTCGGGAGGCTGGGAAGGAGACATCAAGGAGCTGGATCTGGAAGAATAAATAGGACAAAACCCTATGATCCTCCTTCCCTCCTACATTCTTAAGAGCTGCTATTTGTCGGCCCTATTCTGGTGTCTGCACCCCTGGGCAGATCTAGGCTGGTATGTGAAGCTCAAGGTTCCTTCCTTCTCTTTCCTCAGTGGACTTCACACCGTTAGATGGCCTCAGGGGGTTATGCTTCCACCCCACCTCTGTCTCACCCCGCAGCCATGCTGAATAACAGGCTACCTCATCTGACAACTTCACTCAGGTTAGGGGTGCTAATGGATGACAAATTATCTGCCCCTTCAAGAAAGGAGAAAGCACAGTTTGTTTTTTCTTATAAAATGCCTCTAACCTACACTAATGGTAGGATTTCTGGGACAGTAGCAGAATCACCCAGAAAATGTCCTTGGACTTATGGCCTTTTGAAACTACCAAATCCCCTTAGAGAGATCTTAGGTTGAAAAGAGGTGACCTCTAAATGTGTTTTGTTTGACTTTCACAATGTTAAAAGTTCTTTTCATGGTAAAAAACAAAAACAAACAAACAAGACTTTATTTGAAAAGCCAGAATATCTAACAATGCCAGGGCTACATTTCCATACAGCTGGAAAGAGCAGTGGCCACCCCCTTTAGAGGCCGGATGCTCCCCCAAGCTACCTCAGGCATTTCAGATCCCTGCCTGACCCTGCAGGGGCACATTTGCTGGCCTTGATAGAGAGATGCTCAGCAGTTCCAGTCACCAGTGGGCCCGCCCAGTGAAATCACCCAGAGTTGTTACCAGATTTGTCACAGAGGCACTCGAAATGAGGTTAGGGTGGCGATGTGATTATAATTCTCTTTGGGGACTTTGCTCCCTTAATTTTTTTCCTACCCTACTCTACCTCCCCATGGTACCTAGGTCTATGCTCATCACGGGAGGTGCTGTATCAATGATCAGGAAGTCACTAGAGGGAACGGGAACAATGAGATTGGATTAATCTCCTCCCCACCTGCTGGGCATCTGGGGCTTGGTGCTCACAGAAGTGAGAGTGACACAAGTCATTTCACTTGAAAAGGCTGCACTGCATTCTCCCTCTGTGAGCCCTGAGAGCAGACCTAACCACTGGGCCACCTCAGGGCAAAGTGTGGCTCCAGAACCGCATTCCACGCTTGCTGTAGTCATTCTCATACCTAACCTCGGTTTAATATTTTAATTTCAATTCCCATGTGTTTAGATTCTTTGTCTTGGATCCGTGATTTTTTTTAAAATAAAACTACTTAACTTTTTTTCTATTCCAGAAGCTATAGAGTTTATTTTGGAAAGTGTACTCAATAAAAAGGAAAAAAAAAAAAACTCACCTGCAATCAATCTCCCTGGAGATAACTCCTCTTATAGTTTGATATTTTTCTGTTCATAGATACACAGTATATTCTTATATGGGTATTTTTGTTTGTTTTTGGCAGCTGGCTGGTACAAGGATGAGCCTGTGACTTTGGCATTACCAGCACCACGCTTGACCAAGTGAGCTAACAGCCCGCCCCTCTTCTATGAATACAGCCATATTATACGAGGGTACTTTTAAAAGTCCAAGGAAAAATAGAATTTAAAGATAATATGATTCTCCAAACTTTTTGAAGTACCCTCATACATAGCTTTATAATATTTTTTCTTTTTTCTTTTTTTTTAAAGATGACCGGTAAGGGGATCTTAACCCTTCACTTGGTGTTGTCAGCCCCAGGTTCACCCAGTGAGCAACCTGCCATCCCTATATGGGATCCAAACCCGTGGCCTTGGTGTTATCAGCACCGCACTCTCCCGAGTGAGCCACAGGTCGGCCCTTTATAATATTTTTTCACTTAGCATTCTAAATTGAACATTTTCCTACATTTTAGATATTCTATTACTATACAGGCTACACAACATCCCATTTTATGGATGAACAGTAATTAGCTAATCTTCTATTCTTAGACATTTAGTTTACTCAGACTATTTAAGAGGACTCATTTTATTTTTAACACAAATTGGGGTCCAGAGTGGGTGAATTGTGAAACTGCATGTAGACTCCACAACTCTTCTCTTAAGGTATAAGGATAATAGAATTTTTCTGAAGTGGCTTTTCAGAGAGAAATCCCTATTGCTGTTTGTTCCCTCTTCTGGTGCATGACTCACCATGAAAGACTTCCACTTTATTTGAGAAAACAGCATCAGCAGAACGGGCTCTTTTGTAACTGGCATGATGCGGCATGCATATCAGAAAATCTGACCTTCCATTTACTTTTGCCTTTTATACATAACTCTCAGCATTCAAAATCAGAAGGTATGTGTGCTCTTGGCAAAACAATCACTTGGATATTTCAAAACTCCTTCAGCAGAGAAGCATGCAGGACTAAACTGCCCTTTCTGTTGGAGGTAGAAAATGTCCTATTCTGTGAGTCTGGATCACTCAGTCTCCCAAATACTGTGACAGAGACAATAGTCTATGCGACTCTGAATCCAGCAGGCCAGGCCCTTGCTGACTGGGGTAACAGGTTTGTTTTTACCAGAGAGTGTTTGAAGATTTCCATGTGGCTAAGGCCACTTGAGGAAGAAAACAACTCTTTTCTTGACATTTTAGCCAATCTGAAATGCACTTTCAGTCCTTATGACTATGTACTTGCCCAAAGGAAAAAGTGACTTCTTGAAACAACTATGGAAAGCAAAACTCGTTTATTCTAGTGCAGAAGAAGGCAAGGGTTGGGAGGTAGCGAAAGATCTCCCTTTGCAGCTATGTGGGTTGGGGCAAGTACACTAGCCTTTAGGATGTCAGTGTCTTCAACTGCAGAAATGGAGATAATAGCTCCCTCACTGAGTTGCTGTCAAGATTAAACTGGAACATGTAAAGGAAAATGCTCAGCAGGATGACTGACACACAGTGTTTAGTCAATTGGCATTAGCTTCCTCTCCCCCTTTTTCTTGACTATTGGCATTATTCATCCCTGTAGTATATTCACTCATGAAATAACAAAATTTACTACGACTGCATTAGATACTGAAGATACAAAGATAAATAAGATACATGCTCAGTCCTTGAGTATTGCCTGGTACTCAATAAATACCTGTTGAATAAGACTAAGCAGCACAAAGCCTGCTGGAAGAGGTGGGCACATAACAAAAAGTTATTGTAACAATGGGCCGGCCCGGTGGCGCACTGGAGAGTGCGCCGCTTGGGAGTGCAGCGGCGCTCCCGCCGAGGGTTCGGATCCCATGTGGAGACCGGTTCCCGCTCACTGGCTGAGCACGGTGCAGACGCAACACCGAGGGTTGCGATCCCATTGCCGGTCCCCGGTACAGGCACAACACTGAGGGTTGCGATCCCATTACCGGTCAGTAAAAAAAAAAAGACAAAAAGGAAAAAAGAAAAAGTTATTGTAACAATTATTATAGACAAATAATTAGGATGCAATGCAAAAAGGTACACACAGCGTGCTGTGGATCACAGCGGAAGGATCCTCTAACTCTTTTTAGGGGAAATGGAGAAGAATTACCAGAGGTTGGTTTTGGTAGAGAAGTAAAAGTGTTCAAGTGGAGTAGATAAAGGAGAGCGTGGTGGTGGAAAAAGGCAGAGAAAAGAGAATTTGTAAAGGCACAAAGTCTGGAAGGGAAGAAAGGGTACAATGTGTTTGTGAAAACAGAAATGAGGCAGGAAAGGTAGACTGCAAAGGACTTCCTATGCCGTCCCAGGGAGCCTGGGCTTTCCTCTTTAGCCCAGCTCATCTCAGACTTTAATGTGCTAAAGAATCATCTGGGGACATGTGGGTTCTGATTCAGTTGTATGTGGAAGAGCCTGAGATTCTGCATTTCTACCAGGCTTCCATGTGATATAGGAGCAATTGGTCCATAGACCATACAATGAGTGGTAAGGCTTGGACAAAAGAGGGTTAACAGAAATTCCCAAAGAGGAGAGTGACATGATCAGATTTATAGATTTAGTTACTAGGAAGCTCACTGGGCTACAGTATGGAGGATGGACTGGAGCTGCAGATACTTTTTATATTCTTACTTGATGGTGATCATTACAATATCTCTATGACATAACACCAGAAGACTGCAGACTCTTTGAGTTGGAATGGGTCTCAGAGATAATGTGGTTCATATTCTCTCTCTTTACAGATTATGAAAGACAGCTGTTAAAAGGGTGACAAAACCTCCACAGGGTCAGACAGCTAGTTGGCAAAGCTGGGGGTCCAGGACCCAGATACTTTAACAAAAATCTGTTTGGCCATGTTCTTTCTGCCAACTTCCCTATTCTAGGACATCAACTTATACTCAGAGTTGAATCATTAGTGAGTATTCATTGGAATTAGGGAGAAAAAAGGACTTAGGGAAATAGACTTGTTCAGCCATTCAGAATTATGGAGGCTGTGGTTTTTGGTACAAGCCAGGTGGGGAAGACCCCCACAATGGCTGGTCTGGCACTTTTTCCAGGTATCAGATACTACGTGCCCCTTCTTTCTGTCTTTTCTCTTGGAAACATGTCAGAAGTGCAGATTCCCCTGGGGGCAAGTAAG